TCAATCTATGATAGATGGCGGGTAGGCTAATGACGGTAGTTACGATTTCGACCAGGACCTTCATCAGTACAATATTATATTTTTATGCGTTACTCTCTTCCCAAACCTTGAGTTTAAACAAATGCCCTAGGAAAATAGGCCTTGTGGTTCGCGTGTTAGTTGCGAAATCAGAATGACTTGTGATTTTGTGTACACATTATCTGGCCTACGCAAGCTGCTACTATAAATGTGGGTTCATATTAAGCATCAACGATTGGCACCAGGGAAATAATGTTCCAACTGAAAAACAAAAAATTTTGAGTACCGTTGACTTGGTGGTGAAGTGTGATGGCTTTATTTTTTTTAGAAACATAATACTGATCTTCCACAGTGGGATGTGTCTGTTTAACCATTAGTCCGGATCGAACCGATATCTGCTATAACCAATAGAAGTTGTTCCTTGTTTAGTTTTATTATTATAAATATGGTATAAAATAATGAACCTTTCTTCACATTCCAACGAAGTTCTTAAGATATATATACCGTTATCAGAATGTTGCCAGTGTAAACATGTACCATATTTACAATGTTCGTAGATTTCAATTTTTAAAAAAATGTATTTTTTAACGAAATAACTGCGTTTTTGCAGTAATGAAAAAAAAGTTATCCTTAGTTACTTGTTTAAAAAAATATTTTATTATAATTAACATAGAGTTGAAGTTATCAAATTGATTTTAGTCGGTTAGGAATTTTCGTTGAAATTATTGTTTCAATTAATGGTGCCATTTAATGTTGATAGCACTGTAGATTGTCTTTATGTAATTCTAAGGGAATTTTTCACACTTTAAAACCTTATCTACTTAGTAAGTTTGAACAAGGATTTTTATCAATCGTACTTATGTTCATTTTCTTCTTCCGCCTATTACGGAACATTTTTCTTAGTAACATATTATGATTATTCATTTTAATATCCATTCATACGTTCATTAATAAATATTAAAATTTTGTTCAGATATTTAAACTTGCAATCAGTAATATCATCTTTTTTTGACGTCCCCTCTTATCCATCTGCCTTTATAAGGTTTTGTTTTTCATGGTTTTTTTTTGAAGTGAAACTTCTTTAGGCGCATGGGGGTAAATGTTTATAGAACGTCACGCAGGTATGCAACGGAAGTGACATCAAACTACTATTGAAATTAAGTACTTGTCAAATGTCAGTAGTAGTAGTTGTTGTATTTTTCCAACTGGAAAGGCAAATGTATCATACCATACAGCCTAATATTTTATAATTTTTTTGTGAAAAATGTTAATAGTAATTGAAATGAAATGAAAAGAATTTGGAACATTAATTAAATAGCATGAAATTAAATAAGTCAATTCAATTGGCAAAATATTAGTCATTTACAATTTAGAAATCTAAACATAATGTGACTGTCAACACTGAGGTTTGAGATTGACATTTGACAGTCTTTTGGCGGGAACATATCTTCCTTTTCCCTTCCTCTAAGTCTCGGAAATCTAAAGTTTTAGATTTGTATAAATATAAGCAAGACTTATAAAATTAGTTCGCCAAAAAAGTTTCACTTCTGACATGTGTACTTTGTACGCACGCACTTTTTTTTTCATTAAACGATACCATTTTAATTTAACCCTTTGACTGCCATAGAAGTCATCATTGCCCTACGTTGCGCATTGAAGTAATTATGTCGATTTCTGTTACTAAGGCGCCGGAATATCTAGTAGACTCTGGGAAAGACGAATCCGAAGAAACTGAGAATGAATCTATTTCTAAGAAATCTAAAAGACTAAAATATATATAAAAAAAGATGTGTGGTGTCGTGGGACACCGGATAGGAACGAAGTTCCATATAAAAAAAAAAAGAATTACGAGAAAAAAATCGCGCGGTGAAATATCGCTGTGCGGAAAACAAGGCCTTATTCCACAGACTTTTTCTTACGGTTTTTACTATCACATTTTTTCAGTTCGGTCGCGCAGCAAAATCCCTAACTCATCCAAGCCTGCCGTAAGGAACTTCATTCCAAAAACAAAAGAAGGCAAAGTTAGGCAATCCAGACGCTTAGTAACAGAAATCGACATAATTACTTCAGTGCGCCGCGTAAGGCACCGGTGACCTACATCGCAGTCATTTATCGTAGTAAATAGCTTCCAAGTTCATTGTTTATCAACGAATTAAAAACAAATGTCTTTTTGTGGACAGATTTCGTATTTTAGTAGTTGCACGGTCGATGATCTTACTATAAACGTAATCTTTAAATTGAACATGAACGATGATACGTCTTGCAGTTTTTGTTTTGCCTTGTATGTCCTGTCCGTTGTTATTCTAAGCTAGATATTATGTAGATTTATCGAATTCTAGTTCATTTCCACATGACCCCACTCGTTAATTAAACACCTACAGCCGTCATTTTGATTACTGTTCATTTTATAAACCAAACGATCTTTTTTGCAGCTTAATACGGATGCCAAGTTATACGTGCCATTAATATGAGACCGTCAGCGCAAAAGTGCCCTAAGCTTACCATAGACAAAGAAATAATAATGTTTACAAAGCCATCTGTTATCTATGAGTGAAACTATGGATAGGCCGGTTTCGCATCAAAATTTATTATATATTAAGTAAATTGCAATATTGCAATAAGCATGAAAAATAGTGGGTTAGGCCACTTTTACGCTGACGGCCTCATATCTGTGTTCCTCTCGCAATTGGCACTTATTTACTGTAATTCTCGAAGTTATTCATGAATCGTAGCCGTGCATCGTTTCATCTTAGACTTAGTCTGTATTTGTAAGGTTTACATACATACATAGGTCATACGAGTAAGTTCCGAATGACTGGGAAAAAAAAAACAAAAAAAATTCTAAACCCTCTTTATAGAAGTGACTTATTTTAGTTTCCAACGATTTTTGTGGTGTTAAAATTTAGTCTCGCTCTTACTTCACTCTAACGATAAATGATTTCGGAATTTCAATGCTCTAGGAACCATAAATATTTTTGGTAAATAGGTTAATATAGATTTAGTGACTATAAGATGTTATAGGGTGTGTAGTGGCCATGTTGAAACTTGATTTCTATAGAATTAAAAGTAATAAATATTTCACAAGAGTCTGATTGATTGAACAAAATAATTCTAAACACAATATTATATGTCTTTATAAGATTTAAATTATTGTCAAATAAAAACAATCTTCCACTTTGACTATAATTAGGCCTATGTTCCTAGTGCTACTATCAATCAGTAACTGTATTCATCTATAATCTGCTCTGAACTGTGTCCTCTCTCATGTGCCTTAAAGTAGTAAAATATAAGAACAATTTTTGCGTGTACTTAATATTTTCCTTCTAAATCGATAGAGTGAAGTATTTAAAGGACTGTCTTCAACGAAATCACGTATAAATTTCTGCAGTCCTAGTGAAAGAAATCGTTTTTAATTGATTAGGCTGTGAATCACCACGTAATCATTGTCAAAATTTTACCTTTACTTTTAATAAATTTCCGTATGTTGCTTTTGTCATTCGTCTTTTATTTATTAACCTACCTTTATTCCTTTCTTGATGAAAAAGTAGTAATATTTAAAAATGTTTTGCCGACCCTTTTGAAAACTTAGTGTACGACCAAAATCGACAGTTCGTTTCCAGGGATATTTTCTGCCACGCACCATCCGGCTTCGGAATAAACTCTTAACGGTGTTTTCCGAGCGCTATGACATGTCCTTCTTCAAACGAGGCTTGCGGAGAGTACTCAATGGTAGGCAGCGACTTGGCTGTGCGCCTGGTATTGCTGACGTCCATGATTTTTTTTTTACTACGGCTGCCCCACCCTTCAGACCGAAACGCATTACTGCTTCGCGGCAGAAATAGGCGGGGTGGTGGTACCTACCCGTGCGGACTAACAAGAGGTCCTACCATTAGTTAACGAGCGACGGTAACCACTTACCATCAGGTGGGCCGTCTAAAAAGGCAATACAAAAAAAAATGAAGAAGCTCCCTTCCAATGTTGATATTGGGAAGAAAACAAAGGCTTGGATACTGATAGCTGGAATACATAAACATGAAACTCAAGAAGCCTGGCTTGCGAGATGCCAAAAATTATATTGTTGCTATCAATTAGGGAGGAGATTTCGACTATTATGACGAGTCGTCGAGTTTCAGTGGCAACATGGAAGATACTGTGCTCGCTCACGCGGCCCGCGTACATTTAAACTTTATCCAAGTAATCCAATCCCGTTTCTGAAGTATAGCCGTCGGAGCACCGTGCTATGTCACGAATGTTGTGTAATACTGTTGTTCATAATCTAGTCACAATAGTTAATATGTGTATTATTTTTGGAAAATTCGACATTCGTCTTAGAGAATATTTAAAATTCGCATCACTCACCACTCTGCCACGCACCATCTGGCTATGGAATGAGCTCCCCTCCACGGTGTTTCCCGAGCGCTATGACATGTCCTTCTTCAAACGAGGCTTGTGGAGAGTATTAAGCGGTAGGCAGCGGCTTGGCTCTGCCCCTGGCATTGCTGAAGTCCATGGGCGACGGTAACCACTCACCAGCAGGTGGGCCGTATGCTGGTCTGCCTACAAGGGCAATAAAAAAAAAACTCAATCCGAGTTAATCGGGCATTTCAATTACTAGATCACGGCGATTATAGGTATTAAAACTCCACAGAAATAGGTAACGAATTGCGCGTTGATATTTAGATAGATACAAACAAATCTAATAATATGACGTTAATGTGATGTCTCCTTATTTAAACTACATATTATCAGTACTTTGGACTTAATATAAATATTTACGGACAATTACTGTACCATTTATTTTGTTGATAACCCGCGCACGATTAAAAACTCATACATTATGCAATGTCTTGAGGTCGCTGTCAAATGTTGACATACTGATTATTAAATTGGACATAAACGTACAAGCCAATATTTCAGTGGACAAAACGAGTAAATAGCACTTGTGACTGATATATGTGATATATTTTATACGTGTATTCAAAATGTCGTATTTGGCTTTAGATAAATGGGCTCGAGTTATTAGAATGACGATTCAGAACGGTGGACTGTTTAAATCTCTATATAAAATTTGGAGAATGGACACGTTAAAGGTATATAACATTTAATAAGTTTAATAAAATCTTGGAATAACTAATATACCTATTGTTCTATCGAAATTTTAGATCCATCCTCCATCTATACCTCCATACTAATATTATAAATGTTTAAAGTTTGTTTGCATGTTCTTTTTTCACGTCGAAAAGAAGCAACGGAGAGACATGATTTTTTTTAAAAGTAATTGTTTTAAATTAGGAGATTTGACATGTGCTATCTTTTATTCCGAAAATATACTCATTCTCACCGGAAAATACATTGACGCTTTAGGTGGAGCTAAGCGCGCGAACATCTACCAAAATCATATATTTGAGCTTATCGAGACAGGAATAAGAAGACAGCTCATATAAATCTAAAAATGTAAAGCATAATTTTGTCTATGTTTGACGAAAAGCAGTTAGTCATACGTTCTGGTTTGGAGGGTGGGTCCGATGTTTTGAAATACAACAGGCAACCGGAAACCATTAATATAGAAAAGTGTAAGCAGTAGTAGTTGTAAGAGACCTTAATTAAATTAAAACGATCGTTATCACCATCCTTATTTTTGTGAAATATTGACTGACCATCAGGGACGTCTTAAGCTAGGATGGGGCCCTTGGGCACACAAGAATTGAGGCCTTTTGAAAAGTAAAAAAAGCGAATTATAATAACATTTTTTTACTGAGTATGACCATTTATTATGGGTAATCAAATACAGTATGATATAATATGTCATTAATGATATTAGAATGCTGCTGATTTTTTGGTTACGATTTCGATAACGGTTTCTTTCGGGATTTCTGTTCAGCAAAATCTTCTATTATAGGTATAGTATATGCTTTGTAAATTCCTTGTAACCTTCTGATTACTGATTTGTGAAAAAGTGTAATGTGCCCGACAAAAATGTTTTGAGAATAAACGTGTGAGAGGAGTTGTTGGTCTTTCGGGGCCCCTTGAGAATGGGGGCCCTGGGCACGGGCCCCGTGTGCCCTTATGGTAAAGACGGTATTGCTGACCATTTATTCTTGGTGCCGTAGTTAGCGGCCCTTACTGTTGCGCCTAGGGTCGTTGGTTCGATTCTCATATCGGGCAAACATTCGTGTGATAAATAGTTTACTTTACCCTTTGTCTAGGTGTTCATTATCTGTATATGTATATATTTAAACATATATAAGTATGTCTCTGGTACCCATAACACTGGTAATCCTAAATTAAGGCCGGATGACTGTGCGTGTTTTTTCCCAGTTATTATTCTTATTATACTTGAAATTACCAAACGTAATTTGGTAAGTAGCCCTTTATTTGATCACTGCGTAAACGCGATTGTCCAATAAATCGAGACGCCGTGAATTTGTAGTGCATTTTTACAAATAATCCTTACTAGTGATAGGACCACTTGTGTGTCTGCGCGGGTAGGTACCACGACCCTGCCTATTTCTGCCGTGAAGCAGTAATGCGTTTTGGTTTGAAAGGTGGGGCAGCCGTTGTAACTTACTTGAGACCTTAGAGCTTATATCTCAAGGTGGGTGGCGCGCTTACGTTGTGGATGTCTATGGGTTCCAGCAACCACTTAACACCAGGTGGGCTGTGAGCTCGTCCACCCATGTAAGCAATAAAAATAAATAATAATAATACAATATTCTTTATAGGAAGGTAAATATATCGGCTGTGATGAGTTCGGTAACAAATACTACGAAAATAAGAATTACATGCTTGGCAGAAGTCGCTGGGTCGAATATAATCCGCAATTCAAATGGGACTACGACGCTTCGCAGGTTTGCATAAAATTCATATCAGAATAACATCTGAAATAGATCTGATAGCGTCGACCGACTCCTCGATCAAGTAGTGATTGTTCTATCATTGGCTCCGGAGTGGACTCCTGGTGAAAGTCGATTACTTTATTGAAAAATATATATTAGAAGAATTAAAAGGAAGATTGATGAAAGATAAGATAGAATAGAGATTCGAAGTTTATTCTTTTCTGACAATCCGAGCGAGTGAGGTACATTTTTTTCTGACTTACAAATTTTACGTTGGTGACGCAACAGGGCCGGTCCTGTCGATTCAACATAATAATCTAATATCTCTAATATTGAGTTTTGTATTGTGTGGGACTTTAGCCAGACTCATTATCTATAAAGAATTAATTTTATGTAGGTAACGATAGCTGGCCTAGTGCCAGCCTAGTGCTTATATTTATGATGTGTAGACATAGCAAAATATTTATTTATAATATATATTAACTTAAGGACATTTTGTCGATTGTTTTGCTATAGTCGAATTACAAAAGCTTAATTAATAAAGTCAAAGGCATACTTTTAATTCTTATCCTGTATCATAGATGGCGCTGACAAGTCCAAAAAAATAACAATTCATCTTTATACAGTTTTGAAAATTATATTCTGGATGTTAATAAAAATGTGACAAAATTCGTATCCTCTCGACTCGAATTATTTAGTTAACGTACCTTTAATTAAAAACGAACGGTTTTTTTTGACAGGTTTGATACTTATGATTTCGTTGATCAGTATCAGAAAATATTTTTTTATGGGTTCAACTTAACGTTTGAACGTTTGGTGTTAATGTGAAATTATATCGATTCGAGCGACAGTCGCGATTTAGTTGCTGTTTAAGATGAGGATGACTGTTAGTCCAAGATCCCAGGGCCCCCTGACGTCACGTATTATCTGACGAACGAAATGTGGCCGATTGCGTAGTGTTAGTATGTACTAAGAACGCATGCCTACCTGCTACCTTGCTTAGACGGCCAATTTTCAGGTATCAGGTACGCAAGGTACATAAAATCATGACCTACTTCACATATTTTCTGAAAGCTTATTTTTACGTATGTTTTAGGCAATATCTTTAAAAATAAGTCGCCAATACTCCCAGCAGGTAGGCATGCGTTCTTAGTACATACTAACGCTACGCAATCGGCCACATTTCGTTCGTCGGAAAATACGTGACGTCTGGGGGCCCTGGGATCTTACTCTATCTGATTTAGTCTACCTGGCTCATTAAAAAATTTAATAGTATACGCCCTTGTGGTTACAGGTAACGCCAGAATGGTTCGGCTGGTTACACTACAAGACAGATCGTCTCCCAAGTGAGGACTGCGCGAAGCTGTGCCTGAAGTGCTGCTGTTGGACTCATAGGTGGAGGTTACCTCATACCGAAAACATGAGTGCCACCGAACGCGCTTACTACCCATTCAGGACGACCCGAACTCATATTTCTGTTTGGGATGGTTAGTTCATTGAATACGTACGTATATATTTTTTATTGCTTACATGGGTGAACGAACTCACAGCCCATCTGATGTTAAGTAGTTACTGCAGCCCATAGACATCTACAACGTAAATGCGCCAACCGCCTTGAGATATAAGTTCTAAGGTCTCAGTATAGTTACAACGGCTGCCCCACCCTTCAAACCGAAACGCATTACTGCTTCACGGCAGAAATAGACAGGGTGGTGGTATCTACCCGTGCGGACTCACAAGAGGTCCTACCACCAGTAAAATTAGAGCACTTAAACTAAATATTAGATCCTTACATATGAAATTGACGGGAGGAATATAAAGTCAGTTTTTCTTTTTGTAAAATATATTTAATTAATCAAAGTATGCATCGTTGTTATCTATGAGTTCTGCCATCTCATATGTAGTTCATTGATCCCTTTACTAAAAAAAACTATGGGGGCGAGAATCAATAAGCTCTTTGAAGGCGGTTTGGACTGCCGCATCGGAGAGTACGAGACTCGTAAATGTACCGATCTTTCATGTTTTCCATTGTGCGGTAATAAGCGACGCCAAAGAAAAAAATAATGAGGAAAAACAAACGAATGACTGTTTTCAAAATTCAAACGTACCAGCTAAATGAATTTATAAATTTGGATTTGGAACTCTTAACCAAAGTTTTTTTTTTATTGCCATTGTAGGCAGACGGGCATACGGCTCACCTGATGGTGAGTGGTTACCGTCGCCCATGGACTTCAGCAATGCCAGGGGAGAGCCAAGCCGCTGCCTACCGCTTAATACTCTCCACAAGCCTCGTTTGAAGAAGGACATGTCATAGCGCTCGGGAAACATCGTGGAGGGAAGCTCATTCCATAGCCGGATGGTACGTGGCAAAAAAGACCTCTGGAAACGTACTGTGGATGACCGCAGTGGCTCCAGGTAGTATGGATGAACTCTACTCCGGTGGCGGGCGGTGCGATGGTAAAAACGAGATGCTGGTATCATCTCGAACAATTCTTCAGAGCACTCCCCATGGAACATGAAAAGAGGAGACATTTTGATTCTTATTGATTCTCGCCCCCATAGTTTTTTTTAGTAAAGGGATCAATGAACTACCTATGAGATGGTGGATGATGCATAGATAACAACGATGCATACTTTGATTAATTAAATATATTTTACAAAAAGAAAAACTGACTTTATATTCGTCCCGTCAATTTCGTATGTAAGGACCTAATAATATGTATTCTCTACATGTAAATACTATGTAATATTACTACCGTACTAAGTATTACTAGCACGCTCTTAATACTTCTTTCACAATACAACCTCTTGATTCAAGTCGCATTATAATTCGTAAAATAGGCAAACCTTTACGGTTTTTGCCGAAGAATATACGAGTTTTTATTAATTGAATATTCAAATTATTTTTATTTCTGGAAAATAACGATAGCGAGTAAGACAGTGATATTATTGTGCTTTTTGAATTACTAACGTCCACCGTCGTCTTCCAATATAGGCTATGATTATTTGTTATTAAATAAATATATATATATAGATATACCTGTGCGCATTGATAAATGTGTAAGGGAGGTGTTTAGACTAATGATAGTGCCAGGGATTTGACACGACACGACTCCGCAGAAAGGTTGTGGCGATAAATAATTTAATTACGTAAAGGAACCATTCTCATAGAAGTAATAATACAATAAGCTCGCTTTTACACGAGGCTTCACTCTTGTTGTAACAAAATAATTTATTACAAGAGAATAGTACTATTTTTAGATGAAGGGTCTTTGTTCTATGTTGTTTGCTGTACTACAGACATTTTACTTTAAAATTTCATGGGAATTCGTTGAATGGTTAAGCCGTGGAAGCGTAGCAAACAAACAAAGCATTTGTGATATTACTATTTTTTATTGCTCAAACGCAGGAACGACTTCACGGCCCACCTGGCGTTAAATGTTTACCAGAGCCCATATCATAGACATCATAAAGTTTTTGTCACCATCGACCTATTTGCATAGTTATTACGTAAATTACAATTTTGGCGGTCCTGATTTTTATTACACAATAATATTACGTTTATTACGCTAATAAACACATTTTCTTTCGTTTCTTTGAATTTTTGTGAATTCCTCTTCCTCACAATACCTCCAGACTGGATCTGCTCTCACAAACTAGCATCTTTTGAGATGTTAACCAGAATTTTTGTTTTTTTTGCGTCTCCATTTGTAAATATCTCGGGTATTGTTGTCATTGACTCGTTTTTGGGGTGATTTTTATGTGAACTCCTGTGTGCATTGCCATAATTACCCGCTTTAGACTCGTGTGTTCTTTGACAGAATCACATGCTACGACAGACTTGCACAAGTTCAGACTCATTGAATTTATTAATTAAATTTTTAGTGAGCCAATTTAGTGTCGCCCAAAAGTATTTGTGTTTGACTTGCTCTCAGTATGATAAGTATGTCCACTTCTTCAACATAAACCGGAAATATTATTCAAAACATACAGAAACGCAGCTTATGTTTTATATTTGCGGCTAACTCTTCTTCTTGCGCTTAAATATGGGGGGTTGGCGCAGTCCTGTGTCTCCGCATATCCTATTCTTCCATTCCAGCTTGTCATACGTCGTCTCTGCACAGACACCCTTCTCTCCCAAATCCTCTTTCACACTATCAGTATTTTTAAGATGCCCTCTACTATGTAAATACTTTCACACCCCGGATGTTTTCAGCCACAACCTCTCTTTGCGCATATTTAAGTTGCTGGCTAACGAAATAGCTAATTTTTAAAACGATATTTTTTGTCTTAATTACGCTGTGAGTGAATAGTTTTTTTTTTTTTTGTAAAACATATGTATATATCATGCATCTGACACTTCGTAAAAACGTTATTTTCGCGTGATATTGTGCATAATCACAAGCGCATATCGTTTTTGCACTTTACGCCAAGCGATAACTTTTCAGTGGCCGCTGATAGCTTTTCGACACGTTACATTGTTGCGAAAATGTTTAATTAAGATTAAATTTATTTATCTTCAATTGTATTTTTTTGTGTGTCTTTGACTGCTTATATTTTATTGAGTGTTGGCCAAGATCAAGGGGGCAGTTGACGATTGCTGTTGAAAGATTTTGTTATGTAATCTCTCATCACGCTATCTGTCCGTCAAGCACGAAAATCTATCGAAATCGTAACGTAAATATATTGAGTCCTTGATACGAAAACGCATCATTACATTAGACGGTAGTACTCGGCAGTCAGCCCTCGAGATTTACGTTACCGTATGTCAAAACAGTTGACGTGCTCTCGATTATGAGTGCAAGTTTCGAGGCTCAAGATCGTGACGATTCAATTGCAAAACGAAAGTAAATAAATTAATTCGTGCTACTAAAATTAATTATTTTTACGGACGTTAGGGGTGCTGTTTAAATCCTATACATTTTTCTCGATAGCCATACGAAAACCTTTTCGATGCTCAGTCGTGCTCGCCGCTCTGTTGGAACGGTCATCGTTGTCGTCAAACGAGTAAATTAACTCACAGTGTTAGCCCACTGAGTTTCTCGCTGGATCTTCTCAATGGGTCGCGTTTCCGATCCCGTGGTAGATTCTGCGAAGCACGGCTCTGGCTAGGGTTCATGTTAGGAACAACGTCAGGTTTGAGCCCCGTGAGCTCACCTACTCGCCCGGTGAGGCTGATATGGTCTCTCAAGACCATAAGTTTAGATTAGGATTAAAAAAAACCTCTGCTGGTTGATACGGGACATCAAGTAAATTACCTGCGTTCAGTTTATAACGAAACGAATAAATCTCTAGTTTTGTTGTTGAGGCGCCGAATAATTGTACAGCACAATACCTTCTTCAGTAATTCTGACGAGTACCTATTAAATATTTGGTTACGGAACCACGCTGTGAGGTGTTTGGAAGTGCCTAAAGTTTATCTGGAGCGCGAGCAGTAGGCTAGGTAACACAGCCGTAATGGGCATCCTACGAAATATGCTGATTTCACAACTCTCTTTCCGGGACTGCCGCTAGTTATACAACCGATCCAGGCGATGGATCAACGCAACGCCGACTTTACTCTAAGCAGGTCTTGCAGGATCCACGAACCCTCTCTCCGTGTTTTTAGGTTCTTCAAAAAAAAAGTGAGTGGCGGATTTACGTTGTAGATGTGTTCCAGTAAACGTAACACCAGGTGGGCTGTGAGCTCGTCCATCTATCTAAGCAATAAATAAATAAAAAACACTGATGAGCGCCCTCGTTGAACTCATCGAATAACAACGAAGAGTTGATTGTGCAACCTAGCCGATTGACACAACTCACTGAGATTCTCGTCTGATCCTGTTAGTGAGTTGTGCTTCCAATCCAGTAGATTCAGCGAAGCACTGATCTCGCTAGGGCTAGTGTTAGCAAATTCTCTCAGGTTTTTTTTTTTATTGCCCTTGTAGGCAGACGAGCATACGGCCCACCTGATGGTGAGTGGTTACCGTCGCCCATGGACTTCAGCAATGCCAAGGGCAGAGCCAAGCCGCTGCCTACAAAGCTCACCTATCCATCCGGGCGTATCTAGAATAGCTCCTTAGGCTTTTCCTTAGACTTTACCAGCGATTAGGTAGGAAAAAAAAAACAAATTTCATTTACAATGCGATACAGTAAATTTCAGAGTTCCGCGTTGCGTAAAACTCGGGCCATACTTATGGCCTCCATCCGATCACTTACTGTTACTGTTTTAACGTTTGCTAAGGAAATGCAAAGAAAATGTTGAAATGTTGTCGTAAGCCGAAAGTATATTAGACATACCTATAGGTACTTTGAAAATTAAAATTACATGAAACGGCAAAAATGATGCTCTAGTATAGGGCTTAGAATGAACGCCCCTCCATCGTTTTTCCCGAGAGCTATTACATATCCTTCTTGAAGCGAGATTGGCCGCCACTATTCATCGGTAGGCAGCGGCTTGGCTCTTCTGAAATCCATGAACGACGGCAATCACTCACCATCAGGTGTGGCGTATGCTCGCCTGCCCATAGGTGCAATAACAAAATGTTCGTCTTAGCTGAACATTTTTATGTTTTGTTATTTTCAAAGACATAATAGCAAACCGCTTGCTTCAGTAGTGCATGCTGTCAGCATCAGTAATTGCGAGCGAATTAACCCACAGACACAGCCCACTGAGTTTCTTGCCGGATCATCTCAGTGGGTCGCGTTTCCGACCCGGTGGTAGATTCTGTGAAGCACTGCTCTTGTTAGGGCCAGTGTTAGCAACACTCCGGTTTGAGCCCCGTGAACTCACCTACACGTTAGGGTGAAGGTGAAATAGCCTCTCAAGGCTATCAACATAGGAAAAAAAAAGTAATTGTGTTGGCATTTAGATTGAGACTGAGTCCGCACAGGTAAAGCCCAGCTATCGTACCTATTTCTACGGCAAATCAGTAGGTACCTAATCAGTTTTGATTTGAACGATGAAACAGCCATGACGCGTCTCGAGCTGACTGGCAGTATTTACGTTGTGGATTACATGGACTCCGGTAAAACTATAAACGCTGTAAGATTATACGCCTGTCAACAAAATTTGCTTAGTGCGAGTTTTTTAACTTCTCCAACTCCATACAAATTTGATTTAACTTTTACGCGATCGAGAAGTTACTATTACGCGATCGGGAAGTTAAAAAACTCTCACTAATCACAGTTTTAAAATAAAAAAATCGGTCGTCTGTAAAGTCGGCTTACTGACGATAGTTGAACGTGACAACGTCATAAGAAAATACGCCTCAGAGCGAGGTAACGCCACATGAGTCATGTTTTTTCGTGCGTGCAGCCGACTCCATCGAATTTTAAGACGTTGTCACGTCAAAAATTAAATTTGAAACAATCACTATGGCGCTGATAATGTTGAAGAACGAAACGCAGTATGTTGCTCTTTCGTGCGTCAAATCGAGAACTTTGCGGTATAATCTTGCACGAGTGAATTATTGCGCACCTAAGCCACGTTTGTGCTTGTGAGTGTTACCGCCGTTTCGTATTCACTCGTACCTATTCGCGCAGACAAGACGATGCGTGTAAACGAAGCTTTACGCTTCACAGTATTCTGTGAGAAGAACTGGATTAAAATGTTATTTGTTATACTTATGTAACAATGAGATTTATTGTTGAAATTATTATTTCCTTAAAGAGCAAATAATATTCATAATAATTAACTGAGCTCTTCAAAACTACAATAAGTTTAATAATTGTGGTTTAAATTGATTGAATACGTAGGTATAGAGCACTGGTTTTTTTTAAATATATATGAATTTTGGAATCTATATGCTCGGTAATAATATGTAGCTGTTTTTATTTTCAGGTCGTTCGATATGCAATCGTCCTTGCTTCCCACTGTAAGCCGACCTTCAGAATTTTAATCACGTGGCAATACATTTTTTTCACCACTATAGATTAGTACTTGAATAAATATTTCTGAACTCATATTTGGTATTGTATTTTCGTAGTAGATACATAATGTAACTAATGGCGTGTTGGCTAACAAAGTAAGGATTCTCGAATTTAATCATCGCAATTCGTTTTTGGCAGCGAAATTTTTTCGTTAACCGAAAATTTGACGAGCGTCGGAAAGTTATGAGCTCGAACGAAAGAAAAAATTCGTAAACAGAAATTTTACAAAAAGCATAAAATATTACCGGGCGGCCACGACACGGGGCGTAGTAAGGGGGCGTCGCCTGGCCCGCCTCCCCACGGGCCCGAGGCTCGGAGCCCCAAGCCCCCAGTTGTCCGGCAGCGGCGGCTACGCACGCTCGTCTGTTATGCTCCGCGAGTGAGTGCCGCAGTGAAGTGGGGCAGAGGCCCAAACATTCGAAAATAGAAAACGAAAAAATTGACCGCCAGATGGGCGTTTACGAGGAGAGGGGAGCGATGCACTGGGTAAGAGCATTTCCTAAATAAATACCAGATTAATTGCTGCCTACTTTTTGGATTTTCAAACTTGCCGCCTTTTATTACAGAAGACGAGGTTTTTTTTTCACTATCAATTTAATTGTAATCGTTCTTGAAAAATTAAAGCCATTTAAATTCGTCTAAAAATACTTAAAAAAAACGTCAGAGCTACATACAAAAACATTTAAAAAAAATACCATTGCTCTAATAATAAAGTAGACATCGTTTTGTTAATGAGGATGTAATACAGAAAAATAATGCACTAAAACAAAATACTTTTAAATTAATTCATATTCATCTGCATAAGTTGAATAATACAAATGATACCCGAGATTTTATTTAAGTAAAATAAAACTAATACACTAGTACGAAAAGTTCTGGTTTAATAATTAACAAATTAAAAACAAAACGTTCATTAATTAATTCAATATTATATTTTATATTTATTATCATACTATATTATCTGCAGAGATAATAACGAGTAGAGATAATTGCGGGTTTATATTACGGTAAAAGTTTAAGGAGACAACAGTGAATAGATTACAATAGGACCGTAAGGTATCTTTGAGTTGATTGTAACTCTAAAGCAATACTCAGACATATGCTGGTAAGTTGAAACTATTGAGGCTTTAAAAAAGGTTTTAATTTGTCTTTGTATGTATAGGTAAATTTTTTTTTTACTTTTTGTGCTTCTTCAAAAACAATTCAAACTTTTGTTGTATGTTTCTTTAAAACAAATTTAATATGACCGATATGTATTAGAATTACTTTTGTTTCTTTTATTTATTTACTTATTTATTTTAGTCTTCTTACAAAAAAGCTTAATTGAAGCTTAATGTTGCGTTTATGATAAAAAAATTCACGACGTTTAGAATATATTACTCGTGGTCACAAACAAGCGGTCAGTCGCTAATCAAGTTATAGTTAACTTTTGAAATGTTTATCTTATTTTTTTAGGATTTTCCGTTTATGGGTTGATAGCATTGAAGTTAAAATAGGTGAACTACTATTTTTTATACAGTAATTGAAAAAATGTTCCGATTTTCTAGGTAAAGTATCACGGTCGGAAAAACCTAATAAATTTAGGTAATTGTATAATATTTTACAATCGTGTTTAATTTTCGTTTTCCTTTTGGCTGAACCGGAGGTATGAATTAATATATTAAAAAGATTTCCATTAAAATTTGCGTACATTGAAGTGAATTTCGTGCAACAGAATCTGCTGAATTTTTGGTTTTGATTTAAGATTACGTCGTCTGTAACTAATTGTCATTGAAATAAAAAAAAATATTCAAGTAATTTAAAACATTGTACGTCTTTATTAAGTATGAATCTTACTAAATATTTATTTGATATCTTATAATAATAATTTGTAGGAAAGGCATTAGCAAAGTTTGATATTTTAATCATAGTTAATTCGACTGGTAGTATAATTATTTACTAATCAGCAACCTTTAAAATGCTTTTGTAATATTAATATTGATTCTTGGGCTGAAATGAAAGAAGCATTTAATTTTCGACGTTCGTCTTATAGTTACTTGCGATCACCGACGGAAATAAATTTTCCATAAAGGTGTCTAATAAATGTAATAAAAATACCTAAAAGTCACTCTGTTACCTTGTATTTTATGTTCGTCACCGCTGTGTTCCATAGGAAAAGATACAATTTGTATAACTTTGTTCTTGATAGACGTTTTAAGGTGTGTAAAGTTTAATTTCTTAATGATTTTTTTTTTATTGCTTAGGTGGGTGGACGAGCTCACAGCCCACCTGGTGTTAAGTGGTTACCGGAGCCCATAGACATCTACAACGTAGACGCGCCACCCACCTTGAGATGCAAGTTCTAAAGTCTCAGTATAGTTACAACGGCTGCCCCGCCCTTCAAACCGAAACGCATTACTGCTTCACGGCAGAAATAGGCAGGGCGGTGGTACCTACCCGCGCGGACTCACAAGTGGTCCTACCACCAGCAGAATTGTGAGATTACTCGAGTTTTCTTTTTCTTCGATAATTAGAATTGGTCTGAACTCGATTTTTTTATTTTACGTTTTAATTTTATTATTTAAATTGGCATTTTATAGGAGTGACCATCGAGTATCTTCATCTTAGCCTAGATTTATTCCTTGCGGTTTTTCATTCCCTCAACGAATCACTTGAGCCGTATCAAGTATTTTTAAGTGAATGTAAATGTAATTTACGTATATATGAATATCTATAGCATCTGTTATAGTTATTGTTAATTTAACTAAATGATATCGTATGATCAAATTAATGAAGCGTTTATTTTATCAAAGTATTTGTTACGTAGTAACATAAGATCAATTTGCTTTATTTCTTAAGTTAAATCTGTTATAATAAGTTATTTCTGTGATGAGATTCTTGAGAGTGTTTCTTGTTGTTCTTTGTATCGAAAATAATTTACTATTTATAGAAAATCTTGAGCTTAGCATATAACTTACAAATGGAAGTTGTTCTAAGTTATTCGTATAGACATTGTTTTATGACTGTTTCAATATTTATAAGTAGTGAACCCTAGTGATTTTCAATCGCTATTTTCGCTTCGGTCTTCGTGAGCCGTGGACCGAATATAATCTAGTTTTAGGGTTAAATGTCGCGTTTTTCATTATCGTTAAATTATTTCCGACGTTTCAAATATTTTACAGTTTTTACAGTAGCGGACGACGAAATGTTATTCGACAGTTTGAATATTAAATTAAATACCTTGTATTTTTCGATAAAAATGATTTCAGTTTATTCTAATTTTCATTAATAAACTTCCGTAAGATGCCATCGTTTGGTACGGTACACAAGAATAAAGAAAAACACGAAAACATAAATAAACGATGAATATTTTTCGTCGTGACTAGGATAGCTTTGTTTATAAGAAAAATAAATTTTGAATTTGAACGTTATTTTCTACTGATCATTAGATTGAGTATAACTGTGACAAGAACGAAAGGTTTATTATAGTGCACTGACGATTAACTTGAAACTATAATCCGAACTGTCTAGTTAGAAACGGTCTCCCCTTCAGAATCGACCGCAAGATAGCTTTGCGGTCCATAGACTCGTAACAATGCGAAACTGAGCAATTAGTTTAAAATCTACTCTCTCGTGATGTTCAATTACAAACACTTTCACGAGTGCCTTCGAAGCTAAGCTGTCTGAGCGTCGAGTTTGGCGGCCGTGTTGTTTCTACCTTGATGCACAGTTTCCGCAACCGCTATTGGTTTTGTCTGACCCACTACCGTTCGTACCATTGACTTCGCATCCTTGTACATGTCAGCTGCAATGTTTTTATTTTTATTCTTTAGATGAGTGGACGAACTCACAGCCCACCTGGTGGTAAGTGGTTACAAAGATTGGTTCTACACAGTAAATGCGCCATCCAACTTGAGATATAAGTTCTAAGGTCTCAGTATAGTTACAACGGCTGCCCCACCCTTCAAACCGAAACGTATTACTCCTTCACGGCAGTAATAGGCAGGGTGGTGGTACCCACCCGTGCAGACTCACAAGAGGTCCTACCACTAGTAATAAAAAGAGGTCCTACCGCCAGTAACATAATGTTCGAGTACATTCTTCTTGCGAAGGCTCCACCAGATCTTAAGTCCTCACGAATGGTTCGTCACAATATACGGAACGGCTTTTGAAGCTTAAACGAAAATAAAGCACTCCCTTAATGTAAGCGGAGACCTAATTACAATATGTATGTATATACTATGTATGTGAATGTCGGAAAAGTCTATAGTATGAAAATACTAGATGAGTGCGTATTTAGTATTGGTCCCGAAACATTTCGAAGCATACGTTGATGGTGTATAGGTATGTTTATTGACCGATATTGAAAATGCCTGGATATTCTTAAAACGGTGCCTGCCGAAATTATGTATATCGACGCTTGAAAGGCAAACGTGACTAAGCGGCAATGCGTGAACTTTACAGTAGACTAATTTAAAGTTGAAATACCTGAAAAAAAAAAATTTAACGAATCTAGCTGTAAGATTGAAATGATTTTAATAGACCTAGAAATATATTTTTTTTGCGCATCGAATATGGTTATGGCCTATCATTTATGTACAAAGCAGTTATTGTCGCCTAGTCACGTTTGCCTTTCAAGCGTCGATATGTATTTTGCACGAATGAGCCAAGGTTCATAAATTAACTATTGATACACATTGTTTTTTCGATAATAATACCGTTACGAATCCGTATCATTACAGTGTGGATAATTTTGGATTTGTTATGTTTTATTATTAGGAAAACGATGGTTCGTTCCGGATTTTTGCAAATATAGGTCTTGGCAATATCCGGAATAAATTGACAATATATAGAAAGGATGAGTTATTGTAATCAGAATTCTAAAACTAGATAGTATAAGATAGAAAATGGTTTAAGAATGGTTTACTCTTAAGTATATTTTTTACGTAATTGGCGTGACTCAAGTTTTTACAATGAAATCTTTATGCAAATGCGATATTGACGGTGTTGCCGATGTCTATCGATTTAAAAATTACAATTCCACAAGTGAAAAATGCATAGGATTTTAAAACTTTTCCTTAGGAATATAAACGTAGTAAAAGCAAATAAATAAATAAAAAATTTAGATCTTTGTATACGGCGTAAAGTTTCTAAATATCATTTTTCTATTATTTAATAAGTTTTATGAAGAAGAAAAATAAAATAGCCATAAATAAAATATTCTCACATTCAATTTATGTATTATATGTAGCTGAACTTGAAATAAATTATAAAAAAGGCTGAAACTTACTGGGAGCAATGGCAGAGGGTGGTGGATAAAGTAGTTTTAGAGTTAACAAAAAGGCGATCGCGCGTGATTGCGTCCAAGCGGGTTAAAAGTTTGTTGTGAAGTATGCCGTTAATCTGATTGAGAACATATGTGGTTGACTTCTTCTGTCGAGTACTATGTAGGAATAAATGTGAAGTGAAGTGAGATTGGTTAAAATAACTCGTCTCCTCAGGACAGC